GAAATGCATATACTGATGAAACTACCATAAGATTAAAATTAGGAATATATCTACCACCTCCAAAAAGTTTCTCCAGATCTTTTTATGCTCTGACCATTCTGAACCACCACTGACGTTCCTGACACTCTTTTGTTGCACATTAATTTGTACTTCCCAGAATTTCATATAAGTAGAAGTAATGTTTAATCTGGCTTAGTTCACTTAGAATATCATTTTGAGGCACATCCACATTATCACATGTATCAGCAGTTCTTTCCTTTTAGTTGCTGAGTAATATTCCATTTTATGTCACTTTTTTTTTTTTTTTTTTTGCCTACCATCTTTGTTACTTCTGATTCCTTAATCCTTTTCCTCCTTGCTTCTTCTGTGTGGAGCGGGGATGGGTACTGGGAATAGAATGCAAGGCCTTTGCACTAAGCTGTACCGTCAGGCTTTATTTTGAGACAAAGTCTCACTAAATGCTAAATTGCCCAGGCTGTGTTGAAATTTGCCATCCTCCTCCCTCAACTTCTCAGAGAGTGGGAATTATAGACGTGCACTGCCACACTCAGATTCTTTCCTCTTTTTTTCCTTGTTACAAATGTGCTTATCATACAAACTTTCATAATAGCACAAAAGAGTAAAGAAACAGAAAAATCAACAACAGAAATCTTTGGCATCTGGATTGAAACCAACAAAACAAAACCAGCAAAACCCCCTGAAAAGTTAAAAGTCCTCATGATTGCCAAAGGAATAAATCTTTACCAGAAGTATTTCAAGTATCTTGAAAGATGCTAGACGGAGTACCATTTCAATCAGGACAGCCTGGCCTACAGCCCTCTCAGGCGCACAATTTAATGGCTGTCTCTTCAGTCTTCCAAAGACTGTCATGTAACAGGTTTTGCTTAAACCTATTCTTAATGAGGAGAGATTATAATATGAGGCAAAATGCTAAGCCTAGAAACACAAAAGGAATACATTAGAAGTAAACTCCTGGAATGCCACAGGCAAGGGGAACCAACAATACTGATATACTGGTATTATACCCAGGTGAATGGCGAAAGTACCCATGGGCAATGCAATTTTGAGTAATACATGTCATCAGGAGTATTTCTACTGGTGAACCAGGAATTGTTTTTCTTTTTTACTTCTAAGATTAAAAAGCCTTTTGGTGTTTTCCACCTGCCATGGGATACACTCAGCAGTTCCTTCTTTAATATTAAGATCTACCCGACCTTGGCCAATCCATTCGCCCTTCGAATAGTGTACTTTGTGAAACTTGTGAGGAAAGAAGATTTCATGCTTGGTAGAATCTGTTGACTCTTTTGCTTGGTATTTTACCATGATTAATCCCCAACCCACCTTTCTCTGTGCCTGCTTCCTACAGCTGTGGCTGTGGCTGCTATCAGTCTCATATTTCTTCTCTGTAGCAGCCATGGTTCAAAATTGGATCCTGGCTGCTTGTCCCCCTTTTACGGGTCACTACTGCCTCCTATCAGGCTTCTGTGGGCCTTTTGGTTTGTGCACACGCACACACACACACACACAAACACACACACACAACACACATTCTGACCCTATGACCTCCAGAGCGGCTTCTATGAGAACAACTGTATCTGACCTTTCCAACACTGTGGACACCCGAACTAACTTCCCAAGTGTGTAGGTGTGTGCCAAGAAATGCTTCCTCATGCCTCTGGCCTCCACTCTTCTCACATGGGAAGAACTAGACTAACAGAATGTGAAGCCTGAAGTCAGAATTGCTACCACAACAGCAAGGTTGCTGGCAGCTCTTCAAGCTGCTTTGCATAAGTTGGAGCATGAGTGATGTTTTCACAACACCTTTCCCTTTCCATTGTGGTTTAAGTGAGCATTGCCAAATATTTGAATTACACAATCTGGCATAATCCAATTTTCAGGGATAACAAAAACTCTGGAAAACTTTGAAGACATTTTAAAAAATTCTTCTCAAATGTGGTGTTCTCTACTGAGTCCTGAATCCTATTGTTAAATCCACCCAGTTACATAAAGTAGCATAAGACTCCATATTGTGGCATGGCTAGTACTTTTAGTTTGTATTTGATGCCGTCTGCCAATAATGAGTTTGCCTTTGGCAAAGATTCTAGTACACTGCAATAAAAGTTTAAAAATTATTCTGAAATAATTTACTTTTCTACCAAATATCACTTTCTTAAATTGCATTTTTAAAGTTTTGGATGCCAGATTAAAATAACTAGAAATTCCACTCTTCCCTAACTTCCATCTGTCACCTGTCTCACATTTGAGTTTTGTTTTTAAACACATGTTCTAAAAGGATGAACTGGGTCATCACGCCCCACTCCTTTCTTTTGTCCCTCTTGACATTTGGCTGATGTTTTCTTTTCCTCAATGAGCTTTCTCTTTCTCTTCTCAAAAGTGAATACTTTTCTCATCTTAGCGGAACATCTACTTTCATCCTGCTTCTTGATGGCTGATAAAGTTACTACACTCAATTCTTTACCTAGCCCCATATTTAAACGTGTTGTATTCCATCTGCTGATCTTTTTTTCCTCTATGTGTGCCATATTCATGTGTCCTTTTCACCGTGGGCATAATCTAAAATGTATTTGCCCTAGAGCAGGACATCCAAAGTCACATCAGCAGATCTGGTATGGTTTGGAGAGAAGTCCACGCAGAGACACATCATGTGACATTTGGGACGGCTAAGTCGGCATTTCACAATCAGAAGAAACACAGTGTTAAGGCCTAAAAGATATGGTTTGTACTTTTTAAATATACCAAGTAAGAATCTAAAGCTATACACTATATAGTGGTTCTTGACACCAATGGTTTGTGTAGCTCGTAAGTAGGAGAGTATACAATAAATTCTAAGACCTGGCCAACATGAAACAGCACATTGTACTTCACTTTGAAATGAGACAAAAAATAATTTGAGTCCTGATACTTACGTGAAAGTCAGCACTCCTGCTGACTGGTTATGAGTAATCACATAATTTCTGACTTAGCATTACAGTTTAAGGTATAGGGAACTTCCTGTATCTGGGAGATGCAAGGGATTCTTGAGGGGAAGCATCACCTCAGGCACACACCCTATTATAGCTCAGTGATTTTATATTTGGACTGAACTATCTGATAACAGCTACATATTTGTTACATAAATAAATCTTACCATATTACTATATTTTGATAATATGCCTTTAACCAGGAGGTATAGAAGCTTACTTACTTTAGATTGCTTTTACTTTATATTGATTTCTTATAAATTATGAGGTTATTATGTTATCTAGAGTTGTACTAACTGTACTATAATAACATTTACATTTAAATGAAGATCACACAGTCTGGTCAAATCACACAAAAAAATCACAGTTATTTTTAAGTATTATCTAGGACTTCTTCAGGATTTATTTCTTGCTGATATGGTGTGATTGTATATTTCAGGAAAAGCGGTAACATACCAATTTAAATGCACAACTTGAATATGTGCGTTTGTGCACATGAAATGAGGATGTGTAAAAGAAACATGTTCCGATAGCATTGACTGGTAATAACCTAGATAACGACCAAATTCATAGAATTTTTAATTCATGATGTGTCAGATTTTGCTCTACTTTCTTCATAAAAGCACCTTTGAATATCATTTTAAGCCTGCCAATTATTTTTTTAGAAGGAGAATTTTATGCGTATTAGAAATAGCGCTTCCATTTTTTTCTTTGTGGAATTATCTTGTAATCTTAAATAGTGCTATCATTAGCATATAATTGCTTCATAATTATACATAAATGATCTGCTACATACTTTAGATACCTTTCATGCACTGGAGTGTGATAAATAAAGCTGGTTAAATTTTAAATAGACTTTGGTTACCTTTATTATCTTTGTAAGTTAAATTTTTTTATTTTTCAGTTTTGGATCACTCAGTAAAGGCGTACCAGGTATAAGTCAATGGTAGACAATTGAGAAAAGACAACAAGATAATTACTTCTTGCCTGGTAAACTCTTTAAATCAACAAAGGAGCCCGCCCTCTGGCTAATCAGCCTGCCAAAGTCCCGTGCCTTACAGCACAGCTCCAGAGAGCCTCTTCGCCGTGGGGGGCTCTCTTTTGTTTTCTAATTAAACATTTGCACCACAAAGTGAAGGAAATAAACCTGAAAAAGGCGAACTAATACTTTGGGGTGCCTACACGTGGGGGGGGTATTTCGAATTAAGGTACCATTCAAGAAAAAGAAAACCTTTTGTACAATAACCTTTAATTATTTCTGGAGGTTGCCGCCAAGACAAACGCAGAGGGAACGCTGTCCTCACAGTTTTCTGAAATGCAGTCATTCGGCGAAAGTTGAAACGTGACAGACTAGACGGCAGAGAAGGTGATTTGGTATCTGAAGAATGGTATTTGGATCCATTCATTTCCATAAGTGTCTGCATTTTGGGGGAAGCCTGGGGGGCCGGGGCATGAACCTAGTGGGGAACCAACTTAAGATCTTAAAGTTCACCCTGCGGAAAGGGTTGCATCTATGAGCCAGCTGAAGGAGACTCCTTTTCCTATTCCACTTTTTGCGTCTTGGAAGCAGAAAGACTCCCCGTTAACAGCCCCCACTGACGCGGGAACACCCCCGCCCCATATTTAATAAGGTTCTCCTTCAGATCTCGGGCAACAGGATTCATCTTTGCTTTCGCGTTCCTACCCGGCAGCACCAAAGCGCGACCAAGGCCAGCCCTGTCCAGACGTGGGTTGCGAGCAGATTCACGCTAAGACTAAAGTGCGGCCTGTGCGGGCGCTGTGCTCACCATCCTGGAATGGAGAGAGGTCTGCCGGACCTCGGGTTTTTCCTTTGCTGTAGCGGGAATTAGGGCAGAGAATGTGCATTTTGTTCGATCCTTCCACTTGTGTCAAGAGGTCGGTGGAATAGAAAATGCCTTTGCGCTCAAAATATTACAGGCTGGGATGTGTCCAGCGAGAAAGTTTGCAAATTTGTTTAGCACATCACAGCCTTTCTCAGGCTAGGTTAAATTTCTAGAAATGCGTGTGCTTGGACGCGGGCGAGAGGGAAGTCTGCAAAGACCTCGTCGCCGGGCTCCTGAGGCTGAGAAGGGCCGTAGGAGCGGAGTTCTGAGCCTTCAACAAGAGGCTACCTGGGGCAGCGCGACTGATCTTGGCCCCGCGCGCGCAGGGAAGGCGTTGTTGACCCTTCCGGGAGCAAGTTAATAACCCAGGCGAGGTGATCAAGTGACCTTCTTTCTGAGCGAGGTCGTCTCTCTAGCCCTCTTTCTTTTCTCGGTTGGTATTTTTCATGGAAGGAGGCAGGGCAAATTCTCTCCAGCCGAAGTCGGCAGGAATTGATGAGTTCTAACAGCCCGGCTTTGGCTGCATGCGAAATTCTCCAGGCGCACGCGGCAGGACTTCACGCGCTCCTTCACCTCCGCGGAGTGAGCCGCAGCAGACGGCCACTCTCAACATTGTCCCCCAAATCTTATCTCTCGACCTAAGAAGGCTTTTACTGGGACTCGGAAGATTCTGTCCAGCCCCGAAACTGCACGTACTCAGAATCTACTGGGAGATACCGCTAGTGAGCCCCTCCCATCCCTTTAAAAACAGCCCTCTCCCCGCACCTCGCAGCCACCCTGAACGCCCCAACTCTGGAGCAGCCAGAGTAATTCATGGCAAGTAGCTGTGACTCCTGACATCACCTCCGCAGCCCACCCTGGGACTCCAGCCCGGGCCACCCCTCCAGGCTGGTTTTGGGGGGCGCTGATTCTGAGATGTAAGGGGAGGTTATTTGAGAGCATCTTGGTAGACTTCCGGGCTCCCGACTCCTTTCCTTGCTGAGCTGGTAATTTTCTGCTCCTCCACTCCCTCTTGACCTCCTCCAGGGTACCTTCGCTTCCCCTCCCCCTCTGCTTCCCTCGGCAAACCTCCAGCCGGAGAGAAAACAACCCTTTGGCTGTAAATTCAGCGCTGCCTGATGGATAGGGCTGCACTGTGGGAAAGCCCCCCACCCCTTTTTAAAGAAAAAAACCGTTCAGCTACCCTCAATTCACTTGCTTTGGGTTCCCCTAGAGCTCTGGAGGACCCGTGGGTGTTATGCAAAATTCAGTTCTGAGGTGAAACACTGCGGCCAAACCGCCCAGGACCTAGGAGAGAAAAAGCTTCGCCTCTAAGACTCCAAGGGCCTCCGAGAAAACCCGATACATTTAATGAACGCCTTGCCAAATGTAGGGTTCTGTACATCCTCGGGCCAGACTTCTTCGTCAGCAAGCTGCACTACCTGGGCTCCACGCAGAATTCAGTTCAACTCGACCGTTCCTAATCATTTAGCTCTCCAAGTTCAAAGAGGGTGGGAAGGGAGTTTCCTTTGACAAAGGTTTCAGCCGATTTTGAGAAATCCTCATAAACACTTTCAGAAGCACCATTTGAAAGGGAGGGTGCACATTTCTGTCGTGGCTGGACCGGACCGAACTCCTCCGGCACTCAGCTGCGGAACCTTGCATGGCCCACACCGACCTGGAGTTTGTGGCTTCGCCGCTGCCGACATCGCGGTGTTCTATCTCAGCTGAGAACCGAGCAGTACACCGCTGCCTTCCGGGCCCTGGTCTCCCAGTAGAGAGAACCCGGAGCGCTGATGACAGACACAAACGACTGCCTGAACTCGGAAGTGCAGGCTAAAAAGCTCTGATTGTAGGAGAAAATTCTTGCTAATTCACCCAGATTGTTTCAACTGGTTAATAAAGCACTTGACACTCAACAAAGCTACATTCCCAGCAGGAGTCCTAGGCAATAAAATAAGAATCACAACTAAAGGTTTGTTATTGTTAACAACTACCTTTATTATCATAGCTTGGTATCATATTTTTTTAAAGTAAAAAGAAAAAGAGGTAATCATTTCATACCCAGTGGTACAAGACAAGACACCTCTTTTTCTCTGAAATAAGAACAAATTCACTTGATCCACCTTCAATAAACCACCGAATGGAAGAAAGGCAAATTAGTGCTAACACCCACATCCCATTCCCAGTGGAATATAAATGGTTAATCCTGACTCCCTTTAATCACATATAATTTTGTCTGACCCTTGGACATGATTAAAGACACCAATGGCTCATACAGCCTTATTCTGCACCATTAGAGATTACATGGAAAAAGCACGGAGAAACAGGACATAGATACAATATACTGGATACCTGTTTCCAGAGTTGAATAAATTTGTTCCTGTTTTATTTTGACCCCCAAATTACGTGTTTGTGGAGATCAGAAAACATAAATCCTTCTGTTACGTATTTTTCTCCCCATCTGAATATCTTATTCATTGAAACTGGCAGCCTAATTGTTGTACTCTCAAACCCAGTCTTGGTGAGGGATAAACATAGTGCACGGCCTCCCTGGAAATCAATTCTCAAACATATCTCAAGGAAAGCTGACCACAGCCCCTTTCTTTCTCCCGATCTTGCTTAAAGGGAAATGAAAAAGCTGTTTCACTGTATGTAAGTCCTCAAAGAACCAACTGAAAATTCATTTATACCTGCCAGAGGTTTTAAGGAATAAGCACATTCTAACTGTAAATTTACATTTCAATTACAATTAAAACCTATTTAGATTTATGGAAAGTAGCTTGACTTCATGATGTTTGTCCAGGAATTTTCATCTGCCATTAAGTTTCATTTGGAGTGTTTAAATTTTACTTAAGGCAGAGAAAGAAAGCAGGATCACAGGGAAATTTAGGCATAAGAGCTCACCAGGAGGTTTGGGTGTAACAGTTGCATTTTGGTAAGTATGTATAAGTGCACGTGGGCAGATGTCATAGACTCAAGAGGAATTTATTAAATCTCAGCATCTCTCTTGTGTTTAGACACTGTAATATATATTGGGGGTGTACTGCAGTGATCCGTAATACACTAAATAACTATTCACTCTTATTTTCCTCTTGTCAGTAAAGGGGCTCAGACCAGGAATTCACATCACTGATGTTTTGAAGGATATATTTTTGATTTAATAGAATATACAAAGGTCAAAAGAAGTCCAGTTTTGACAGACGAGTATCTAATCCCCCTTTTGAACACAAGAGGTCGCTCCTGTGATCGAGTACTCTCGAAAAACATTGATAATCACATTTTTGTGTAATTACAGTTGCATATGTCCCATAAAACTGAAAAATTTACAAATATATCTGAGGTACTAAATCCACATACAGCAAACAACGAAGGAAAACAAGAAGAGTCTGGTCACATCAGAACTTCCAGTAAAATGAAAATGCTTGGTGTCCTTTGATTTTGATGAAAAATGTATTATTCATAGACACAGAACTCTAGAGCACATCCATCAAAGAACGACATAATTATTTGGTTCCTTCAAGCTTCTCCCTTTGAGGGAAGTATCTTATGCATGGATCCTTTTGCTTCTATCAGTTTAGCAAATATGAAAATACTTGTTTACAAGAATTGTGTGGGCTAAGAAAAGGAAAGCACGTCTTTACCCTTCCGGCAAAGCTGCTCATTACTGAAGGTTTTCTTCCAAGTTACAGGCCAGATTTTCTAGTTGGAATTGCTATCATCAAAAAAATTCTTTGTAATAGCTTTTGGTGTAGGGAGTTAAAATACCACACCGGGTATGTGTGGGGCGACTGGAGGTGGTATGCAGGAGGATAGATTGAGAAGGTCTCAAATATAAGTCATCACTGCTTCTGGTGTTTAATTTCATGTTATAAACGAGGCATGAAGGGATACGATTGGTTCGGCAAATTCGCTGTTTACTTCCGGCGTTATGGTGGTATCTTTTTCGCTAGGGTCAATTTGGTTATCTACACAGGAAACATGCCCATATAGTGGAAAGACCAGCTTCGTGCAGCAGTCATCAGCATTGGCTTTGCAAAAGCAGCTTGACAAAAGGCTCCATGCGTAGAATACCAGAGACTAGAAACTTGGACTCAAACAAAACCAAACACAACCGGTAAATTCATCAATTTAGATCAATCCAACTCTCGATTCTACACACACATATGACATAGTTTATAATAAAAATGGGAGAGAAGAGTTCCACATTTGAAGTCTTCCTTGAGAGAAAACGAAACAAAAATAATGGGTTCTTGGTAAAGCCCCAGCTAGGTCAGAAGGGAACTCACGCTTCTTAGCTGCTCTCAGCGCTCTGGAGAGGCAATGCCATTCAAACACTGCCTTCGAGGCCCGAGGAGGGCTCCCAGGTCTTATCAAGGACTAGATCTGGTAAAAGATACAAGGAAAGCAGTTTCCTAACCTACCGGGTCTTCGCCGCCACAAGACACCGAAATTAAGCCTTCTACAGCTTGTGTTTGCAGGCTTTTTCAGATAAAACTACCAGACCCAATAGAAAAGGAATAGCTGTTTAGAAGTTTTAGGGGAAGCGGGGGCTCTTCGTGGGCTTTCTGTGACTTTCTCTTTGGGAGAGTGGAAGACTTCACCGGACCAAGTAAGAAATGACTGAAAAAAGTTACCGGCGAGATGCAGACAACAGTCTTCTCTCTCCAGATTGCTTCCCCGAGAGAAAATTATTAGATATCCACACTCGGTGAAGAGAAACAGGTATTTCGCTGTTCTATAATATACCCTTTCTTAGAATAAGTTGTTTGTTTTTTTTTTTTTTAATTAAGAGAGGGGAGACTTGTTTTAAACGATCAAAGCACCAACTCCCTGCGCGTTTGTTTAAAAACAAAGGGCAAGAGAAGAGCAGAGAGAGTAACTGGGCAATACAGGATCGCTTTACGAACTTCAGGCTCCGGGACAATCATTTCAGTCTCCGGCTGCGGTCGGCGCCCGCTTTCACTCCAGCATCAGCTGGAGCGCAGACCCCGCCGGTCGGAAGGACAGAGGCCGTCCGCGGAGCCAACTTCGCTTTACCTGCGCCTTCCCAGCCTCAAGTGTCCGCCGCGGCCCGAGCGCCGCTCCCTCCCGCCCGGGTTCTGGGG